TTCTTTGATTATGTTTCACGGTACAAGTGTGATGACTCTATGTTGCAGTTTTTTCTCTATAATTCCGTCTAATCTTATATTTTCTTCTATTTCTTATTTAATCATTCTTATCTTTCTACGTTGTGTTCTGTTTCTCATTTAGATTTGCTTATCTTCCTACTTATTTCCATCCATTCCTTCCTTAACCCATTCATCCATTGTCTACCGTCTATTTACCAAAACTTAKATGCACTTCCATCCACTCATTCTCAATCATATAAAGTCCGCTCATTTTCATCCATTTATCTATTCCCATATTGCGTCATTTCAGTACAAACATTAAATGTGTGCAACATTTCCCACTATTAACTACAAAATAGTGTTGATTAAACAATAGAAAACAATAGAATATTAGCATAATTTAGCAGTATTTAGTGGTATTTGTTGCACAGTTTTAGTGTTTGTGCTCTATTTAAAAAAGCCCTCATAATTAAGTTTCAATGATAATTTTAATATTTTTGTAAAGTTTTATTTTTCCCCTTCCTTTTCAGGGGTTTGTGGTACAATTTTATAAGTAAGGTTATGATGGGGGGTTTCAGAGCAGACAGACGCATCTGCTTATAAAAAAAAACACAGCCCCACCCTGTGATGTAATATACGATCAGTCCCTTAGTTGTCTTGTTGTTTACTTTTTTTACCACAGCTCACACAAGACATGCAGCTGTAAGGATCGGGAGTGGAAGGGGAATATTGAATATTGAATATCGTACTTCAAAATCTTAGGAATATCGAATATTTCCTGAAAAATGTACGTAATACGGAATATTTCAATCTCAAACTCATTAATAATTCATGACTTGCCTGACCAATCATTTGATCTCTTTAGGGTCACGTGTATGCATTTGGATACCTTGATCCAACACCACATGCAAATGAGATCTATCTCTTCACTTATCTCTTGACATGGTGTACTGACTCAATTCGTTCAGCTGAAGCCAGTCTTATAAACGAAAATTTCACAATGAATTGAATTAAATCATGCAAATTCCCTTGTTTTCTAAACATAATTCTTATTGCTAATGAGTCATTCATTATTAATTTGTTTGAGAAGCCAGATCAAAAACTTTTGCTTCGTGTTTCATCAGGAGAATCCAAACACCTCGAAACAGATAAAAGCACTCGGCCTGCGCCCTCGTGCTTTCATCAATTCCTCGGTATTTGGATCCCCTGATGAAACACTCGCACTCGTCTTTCATCTATTACATCCAACACTCTCTCTTGTTTGTTAAGTAGTACTTCCTAGACTGCAATGCATTGTTACTATTTGAACTCCACTTTAAATTGACGTATTAGTAAAAAACAGAGGCGGCTTTATCATTTTTGCGGAAAGGTTTCCATGAAAAATGACCAAAGACCATTAAACCTTTTTCTCACGGACGACGACTTTGATCATTACAAATACAAGATAACATAATTTATTCGTAACTCTTGCTTACTAACATGCTGTGTGCTAAAGCTTGAATAGCTACTCTGGAACCACAACAATTCGTTTTGAACGTCAANAAATTACGCTAAACTAGCACACGCTCTTTTTTACTGTTTCAAAACTATCTTTTATTCAAACTGATAAAGTAACATAGTCATAGCGGTTTTAAAATGTATCAACGAGTATCATGAAACGAATGGTTACGGACATCGAAAAAGAGATTGAAAATACAAATCTGAGTAAGAAAAAAGGAGTTTTCAAAGATTTTTGGCATTTTTACCATATTGGCTTTTCAAGTGCACTTAAAAAAAAGTTTTCGATTCAAGGGCTTTTCAAGGAGTTCAAGGAGGAGCGCGAACCCTGGACCGAGTATAAGTCACGAGAATTTGATACCAAATACGACATACGAAATCGCCCTGTTCCGTTCACCTCGGCCAGCCCCGACACAACCCTTGAAGCAGTTCTCTGGGTTGCAATCAACGTGAAAAATGTCCGAAAAACCTAGCTTTACGTCGGGGAGACTTTCCCTTGTGCTAATAGCAATAATTGCTCTGTTGTGCTGTGGAGCGCTTGTTCGAGTTGAACTGATCTTACGAGAGCAGAGGATAATGATCAACATGATGCAAGAAAAGACCGACTGCATGGTTTCTTGTAGACTCGAGACAAGTGAAGCCAAAGGTATAAAAGAATTGAAAAATTCGCACAGAAAACAATATCAGGCTAGGAGCAGCTGAACTCGGGACGAGCTCGTTTAAACTAATTTGCAATAAGCAATTAAAAAGCGTACACGAGTAACCAATGTATAGGATCTATCAAATAACTTTATGGTAATTCTTGACAGAAATGAAATGTATTTGATAAACATTATTTTGTCTAACTATGACGCTGACTCAATCAACAGAAGTGCCAATGAAAGATTCATCCACCCCCAAACCAAGATCTCGTCGTGACGTCATCCACTTGATCACAAATGACACTAAGTCACCAGCTCTTAAAGACCGGGACTCCTTGATAGCTCTTGCCACAGGTGTAGATTGTAAATCTTTGACTATAAATTGTAAGTATAAAATTCACAATCTCCTAAGATTAATTATCGTCGCAGTATATAAATTATTATATCTCAGACAGATTAGTATATCACAGACCCACCCAAGGTGACGCTGCCAGTCGGACCGATTTACGTCAAGGAAGGAACCATCTTAACTTTGTCATGTCACGTGACTGGTTATCCCAAACCCAAGGTCAAGTGGTCAAAGGTCATGGGTTCCTTGCCCTTCAAGACCTTCAAGCGTTCTTTGATAACTACAAACAGGCTGAAAGTGTTGTCAATTAAAAAACATGATTCGGGTTTGTATGTCTGCACGGGATCCAACACTCTTGGCTCAGCAGTCGAAACTATCAAAATCATTGTTGTATCTCCGCCAAAATTCATCAGCACCCCACCCCAGCAGGTTAACGCTTGCGATAAACTGACGCTCGATTGCCAAGCGACAGGGGACCCCCCTGCGGTGATAACGTGGAGTAAAGAGAGCGGACGGCTACCAACAGACAGGACTCAGTTGATCAACGGAAGATTGGCGATAACTGGAATTAAGGCTTCTGACGCCGGCAAATACGTGTGTACAGCGGTTAGTGCTAGCGTGGCTACATCAAAGAGTGTTAGCACGGTAACAGTGTCAGGTAACCATGTAATAAGTTCTAGTACTAACAATCACGTAAAAAGATTTTTGTGACTTGACTATCGGGCCAACAATCGATTCTATAGCTTCGTATCTTCTCGTGCCCAATAGAGCGGATTTCGTATGAGTGGGAAACGGACGGTACTGTACTGTGTCCGTAATCGTACTGTAACCAAATTCTAGTGCCCCTTTGTTTCACCAAAATTCTGCAGGCCAGGTGCGGTAACTGTGCGGTAACGGTGTCCCACTCATACGAAATCCGCTCTATAGTTAGTGCCTACGACGCCATTATGTGTAACAGAGCATGATGGGAGTTGGCGTTCCCACACGTTATCGTGCCTACTTCTCTCCCTCCAAATTGAACGCACTAGATAACATTCGTATCTAGCTCCGCTCGTTCATGTAATTTCCACCTCTAGATTTGAATCAGGAGACCGTTTTTATTTGTCAACAACCAATATTTGTTTGCTTTTCGACCAGATAAAAGAAAACTCAAGTTTGGCCGTGATTCAGTCACCGACTACATTGTGGTAGAAAGAAAACTGCCTGCAATGGCGAAACTCACTGTCTGTCTTTGGACGATGACGTCAAAAACTGACTCAGTCTTGATAAGCTACGCTGTACCAGGAAATGACAATGAAATAATTCTTATTAACCTTCCCACTAAAACATTACATGTGTATATTGGAGGTGCATCATGGTAATGTACTGAAATAACTTCCTCTTTTACTTTTTTTGCATTTCTAATGACCTTACGGATTTTATCTTCGAGTTCCGGATACATCTCTCAGAAGATTGAGAGTAGCAAACAACACGAGATAAATTCCGTATCTTCAAGCGATTATGTAATATTCTGTTTATCATATGATTATCTATACAAAATCAGATTATGTAGTAAATTAACAATTTTAATCAGTTACCTCCAATATATGGAAATAAAACACAATCGTAGAAACCTATTTTTAATTTTTAATTTTTTTTTAATTTTTTAATTTTTATTTTTTTGATGATGTTAAAATATCATTGTATGTTTTAGGGATTCAGGAATTCGCGTCACTGATGGTCACTGGCACCACATCTGCGCAACATGGGATAATTCCGCTGGTCAAGCAGTTCTTTACATAGACGGCGTTCGACGTGCTCAAGGGAGCTTGGAGAAAGGTAACGTGACTAAGAGTGGAGGTTCGTTGATAATCGGACAAGAGCAGGACAAAGTGGGCGGAGGCTTCGATATATCCCAGTCTTTCGTTGGTGAGCTGACCGAGATTAACATCTGGAATAGAGTACTGGGACCGAAAGAGATCTCTGCTATGTCGAAAAATCGTGAAATTGCTGCATCCGGGAATGTCTTGACATGGAGTGACGTCATATCCGGTACAAAACATGGCCAAGTGCAGATCATCGATTCATGCAAACAGTGAAACTGGTTGACATCCAGTGTATTTACTAACAGTAATTGTCGTAGACCTTAATTATTGCTATAAATTTTGGGTTTAGATTGGGTGTTTGTTGCATTTATTCAAAACTGTAATTGGGAACCAGGGTTAAAAGTAAATTAAAGGTACTTTCTATGACTAGAGCGTGTTCTAAAATCATTTAATCACGTGGGTTTCTATTGTTCCATTGAAAAGTCTCCAAATTCAGATATATGCAAGTGCTCCAGCACTTTTTTGTATTATTAACCTCTCCCCCCAAAAAATCCCCCCCCCCCAAAAAAAAAGAGTAACTGAAAACAAGAAAATCAATAGAAAAAGAATAATGGAATAAAAGGAAATGATAAAAAAATACTGCTATGCTATGTGGACAGGTTCATATCTCAAAGACGTATGTAGCTGGCCGGTTAACCTTTTAGGAACGGAAATAAAACCCTCGCGTACCTTCTAGGGTCCTGAGCTGACTCCGTACTTTTTAGGGTTAATTCGAACAGCTGGAAACAAAAAATGAAGAAGTGTTATAAAGAAAAATATTTTATTAACCTCAACAATCTATCGACATTGAATTTCTACAGTTTGTTAAACTTATAACCTTTTCTCTTGTTAAAGACGTCAAAAATGATCGTACCTTTTATGGTATGGAATCGATACCTGAATTTATTTATGATACCTTTTAGGGTAATTTTTCAATCCGTCCATCGAGCATACCTACCATCTTTTATGAGGGAGTCCTCACCCGGTTTACGGACACGATTAAGACTTGACTTGCTCCATCAAGGTGCCTAGTAGTCAAAGGACAAGTAATTCGAGCATTACAAAATGCAAGTATAAATCACACTATCACCGCATAAAATAACTCATTCTTGACCATTGGTAACTTTGCTGGCGCTTCACCCGTTGGCCCATTTGAGTACTTTTTGCTCAATTTCACATGACAAGACGTGTGTGCAGCCGCGTAACGTGGACTTTTCGGTTAGTACGCACATGCCAAGGACCGCGACACATATTTTGGATTTTGAGGTCTAAACCGCCAATTTTGAAATAATAACTCTTGGAAATGCGATTTCCAGAGTTTTGAAAGTCTTGAAAGACGTCGAGGGCATATAAAGGGAATAAATTTTATGTGAATTTTTCAGTAATTTCTTGTGAAAATTAATGTAATTGCCACTAGTGCGCACGGGCGTATATGCCGAGGGCGCTACGCGCCTGGTATGATAACTTGTTAAGCTAAAGTACTTGACTGTACATATATGCATAAATTCAGATGTTCATATATAGATGTGCAGTATATATGCATAAATTCAGATGTGACGACTGCCTGGGAAACAAGGCTAAACAGTGTGCGAAAGAGTTAATTATTTATTTTATTTTCCTATTAAAAAAAAAATCAATCATTCCCACTTGTATTCGTCTAATTATAAAAAGAGGCTGGGTCGAGTGTAGCAAACCGATTGAACTAAAGATTTAATTAAAACGACTCTCGCGAAAATTATGTAACCTTGAATAGTGACAAATTCTAAGTCGAAAACACATCAGACCCGGGATCGGTCTCAGGCCAGAATATATCTCAATATTTGAGCCCCGAGACAAATGCATGAAGTTCATACTCAAGCCTGTTTCAAAAGAAAAGAGAGGTAAAAACTCATCTATGACCAGGGCATGACGGTTGCTGTCATTTAGCATAATTAGTGTTCGTAGTATTTTTT